GTCAAGTCACCCCCACTGCAGATCCCCAGCCTGTCCCACCTTGCTCTCTGGAGCCAAGAAAAAAGCAGTGGAGGCTGGGCGCGGTGGCTAACGCCTGTAATGCCAGCATTTTGGCAGGCCAAGGCAGGAGGACGGCTTCAGTCCAGGAGTTCAAGACCAGCCTGAGCAACACGGTGAACTGTCTCTACAAAAATCAGCCGGGTGTGGTGGTAGGCACCTGTAGTTCCAGCGACTTGGGAGGCTGAGGTGGGAGGACTGCTTGAGCCCAGGAAGCAGAGGGTGCAGTGAGCCAAGATGGCGCCACTACACTCCGGTCTGGGTGACAGAGCGAGACTCCATCTAAACAAAACAAAACAAAACAAAACAAAAACAGTGGGGACCAGGCAGAGAAGCTAATGCACTAAAGGCCGTGGTGGGGGTGAGGGGAACATGGCCACAGGGCAGCTGCCGAGAGGAGTGAGCTGGAGGTGAGGATGGCAGTGACAGGGGAACTGCTATCACCGGTGATGGCCTCATGGGGACTAGAGATTGGTGTGGGGAGGGTGGGGTATGTGCTGTCCACACGATGACAGAGGCAGGCGACATGATGTCAGCAGTGGGGGGGACAGTGACATGCCATGTGACCTCGGGTTGGGGAGAGTGGTGGGGGGTGTGGCCTCAGGAGTTGGGGAGGGAATGGTGGTATGTGTGTGACCTCAGGGGTGGTGGAAGGGGAGAGGGGTTGGGCAGTGACCCCAGTGATGGTGGGGAGGGTGGTGGGGTTGTGTCTTTGGAGTCCCATCTCTTCCTCTCACACTGGGAGGGTTAGAGTGGCCACAGGCAGGAGTGAGTGCCCTGGAGGTGGCTAAGGACTCGGCCACAGGCTGTCAGCCTCTCTCCTTGTGCTGAGAAGCTGAGGCTAAACTCAGCCCTCTAAGCTTGTCTGCTACCCGTGGCCTGACCTGGCCCGTCACCTCTCCCATGCACAGCAGCACCACCTAGGTGACCCAGAGCCCCCACTGCCACCTCCGCCACCCTGGCTTGAGGCCTCACTGGGTCTGGGCCCCATGCCCTCTTCTCCTCAGGGCCCCTCCCGGCTGCCCAGCACCCCCGTCCTGGGGATCTGAAGCCCATGGAGCCGGTTTCTCTCTGGAGCTTCGTGGAGCGCCCCCAGTCCCCCGCCTTCCGCGGCTCCCCTCCAGGATCAACCCCCGGGCTCTCTGGACCTCTACGCCATGTCTGCAGATGATCCGCGGGTGCTGTCCGCGCTTGAGGACAGCTGTAGCCTCGCCAGCCCACTGGCCATCGTGGCCCACCTCGTACAGGCACAGATCCTGACCATGGCCGTGGGGAACAGGGAAAACACTGCTCCGGGGACTGTGGGAGGGTGCGGTGGGACGAGGGTGTTGGACAGGGCCTGACCCCCAACACCTGCAGGTGGTGTGCGTTCACTCGTCTTCTGGAACTGCTGGCTTGAGGTGGCAGGAGGGGCTGGGAAGGGGTGAGGAGGAGAGTGAAGTAGGGGACCCTGCCCTTGGCTCACCTAGGTCTGTCCCCAGCCCCCACAACCCATCCATTCTCGTGCCCCCCAATCCATCTCCAATCCCACTCCCAGCCCTGTCCATCCCCAGGCCCCTGCTCCCACCCCTCCCCGCTCCCTCTTCCTGTGTTAATCCTGCTCACTGCTGACCCAAGCAAAACGGAGTCCGCCTTCTCCCTTCTCGGCAGTTTTCTGTTGGCAAAGCAGAAAGGAAGGCAACTCAGGCTCAGCCCAGCCTCCTGCCTGGGGAGCACTCTGAAAATGGAGCATCACCCCGTGGGCCCGGCGCCTGGGCAGGGTGCACACACGGTCCCTGTGCACCCTCGGCCCCTGCGCTGCTCAACATCCATCGTCGGCCCTGGCTCTGCGTGGGCATGGGGAGTGGGGTCTGGACCATACAGTGGCCTCAGCAGCTCCTAGGCTCCGGCCCCTCCCTCCCAGGCAACATATGCCCGACACACTCAGGCACTCATGGACATGCTGGTGCCGTCCCTGCCCTCGGCCCGTCTGTGACACCGTGACCAAAGTGATAAGGCTGGGCCAGAAAGTGGGGGCTAAGGCCCATGCATGGGGTGTGGCCAGGCCAGGCCATCTGAGGAAGGGACACTAACCTGCCCCTAAAAGCCAAAAAGGTGCTAGCCAGAAACGCCCAGGAGTGTGCAAGTAGGACTTCAAGGGAAGAGAATGGGCTCTGCAGATGGCAAGGTGTGGCGCTTTGGGGGGTGAGGCAAGCACCAACACATGCTGCTGCAGGGACAGCCTCGAGCCGGCCCCTCGGGGCAGCTGTGCCCCCTGGGAAGCCTCAGCCAGTGGCTCTCACCGCACAGCCTGCAGACTGAGCGCTCCCCAGCGGCCAGCCCTGCCTTCCCCCAGCCTCGCCCTGATCCTGCTTTGCTCCCCAGCCTGGGCAGGTGGGACAGGACCCTGACCTGCCGCCTCCTGCTAGGGCAGGCTCAGCACAGGTGCCGCCCTGTGTGCTGGCCCCAGGGGCTGCACTGCCCTCTGGCGGGGCACAGGCCACAACTGGCCCCGGGGGTGAAGCTGCAGGTCCTGCCAGGCCTGGCATCACACCCTTGACTAGTCCCCAAGGCCTCCTAGAGCCTCCTGGAGCCATGGTGATGTCTCCCCAAATCCGCCCACCACTGCCGACTCAGCTGCCTGTGTGGACGTGCAGTCCCTGGGGGGGCTGGACAGGGTAGTCCCTTGTCCAGCAGGCCCCTGTGCCCAGCAGGCAGCCACCAGCTGCTGCAGGGGTGAGGATGGGATGGGGCGCGGTCCCTTCCCGCAGCCCAGGGGCTATCTGGCAGGACTCCCACAGAGGCTGGAGGTCGTGGTCCAAGCCTGAGGGGCTGGGCTGGTAGGCATCGGGGGGCGTGGTCCGAGCCTGAGGGGCTGGGCTGGCAGGCATCTGCTTTCTGTTCTGGCGTGGGGCTCACTGCTGCCCCGGGAGCAGCCCCAAGTGGCAGGTGGGGAGGGGGACCCCCCTCCTGCCCAGCCCTGCCTTGATTAGAACTCAGGACTCCAGATCCCGGGACCTCCGCCCCCCTCCCCGTGGCCAGCAGTAGGATCTCAGGGCCTCCCACATCGCCACAGCACCCCTGTGCACCAGGCTTCCTCCACTTCACAGGATGGAGGCGGTGACAGGAGCCGGGTCCCAGCCACGTGTGACTCCAGCTGCGAGGCCCCCACTCTGTGGCAGAGGGACCGGATGGCGGGGAGGCAGCCCCAAGGGAGACCCCTGAGGGGGCAGCAGGGGACAAGATGGCCTGGGGCAGAGAGCAGGGCCAGGATCACAGGCCCAGGCTTGGTGGCAGCCAGGGGAGGGGTGTGTGTGGGCAGGGGTGGGATGGGTTGGGCGTACCCCAGGGGTCTGTGGTGGGGAGGGGCATGCTCTCCGGGCAAAAACCCCCTCCCCCAGCCTATGGTGGCCTGGCGCCCACCGTGCAGGAGGCAGGTGGCAGCTCTGTCCCCACCTTGGGTCTGGACAGGCCACAGGAGGTGGGGAGTCCCTGCACTTCCCAGACAGGGCCGCCATCCTGTCATCCCCAATTAGCGCCTAATGGCCTCCTTGATGCACAGTTTTATTAACCAAATTAATATGTGCTGGGGAGACCTGCATGACCTTGGCCCATTCTGCTGAGACAGGGATTTTCCCAGGAGGGCAAATGGGGGACCTGGATCCCCACCCCGGCTCAGGAAGGCTGGGGAGCCTCACCCTCCCGCCCAGGAAGATGGCACCACGGCGCCTGCATCTCTGGGACCCCAAACACCCCACTCACACCCCCATTTTCCTGGCTGAAGCACGAGGGAGGTGGCAGCACAGGGTCCTGGACCCTGGAACTGGAGCTTGGGATGCAGGGCGGGTTGCTCCCACCTGGGGACCCTCGGAAGGGACTGGACAAGAGGGCAGGGGTCTTGCAGAGCTGGGGGCTGCCTTGCTACCCGGGGTCTGTGCCTCAGCCCTCCCAAGGTGCACCTGCCTGTGCCGCCACCCAGGGCTGCTAAGCAGGTGGCGGCTGCCCCCTGGTGGCTGCAGGGAATGACTCCCACCAGCCCTGTCCCTTTCAGAACGTGCTGGGCCCTGGGGCCCTTGGTGAGGACCCCCACTCAGGCTCCGTGGCTCCTCTCGGGTGCAGCTCGGGCCTGCCCTGCTCTGCAGCCCTTCCCACCCCCTCCCCTTGGTGCCCAGGTCCTGAGCCCACTGCTGTGGGGGTCTTGGGGGCGGTGCTCCTGCTGACTGCCTTTGGGGGCCATTGTCCACCCAGTCTATGGAGGCCTGGAGGCAGCCCCCACTTCCCCTGCTTGAAACACTGAGAGCTCACGGCCTGTGGAGGCCCGCAGGAGCGGCGCAAGCAGGCTGGGGAGGGCTGGGGGCCCGTGCAGGCCCCAGGCTCAGGGAGAGGTGACATGCTCAGGAGCTGGAGGGTGGCACCTATGGTCGGAGCAGGACAGCAAGGTGGGCAGCAGGGCTGGCAGGCTTAGGGCCACCATGAGACCTGGGCCACGACACTGGGGACTCCTGGGCAAAGGGGACACTTGCTGGGATGACCAGCACAGGGCCCGGGGTGACCAGCACAGGGTGCAGAGGTGGGGAGTCCCTTGCTCTATGCACAGACAGGACAACAGGAGGTATTTTCAGGGAAGGCCGTGTCTGGGACCCGGCCTAGGGGTCTGTGGATGCTGTGGGTGTGCCTGGCTGCTGCATGGTGGCATGGTGGAGGGGCAGCGAGCGAAGGGGTGCCCAGCAGGAGTCACTGGGCACCAGGCAGAAACTTGGCCGGAGGCAGGACTGAGACCTCAGGGTCTGTGCCCAGGGCAGCAGCAGGGTGGACAGAGCCCGGGGGCACAGACGTGATGGCTGTGAGGAGCACCTCCTGTGAGGAGCCCTCAGGGTGGGGCAGCCCCAGGAAGCTGACCTCAGACCGGCAGAGGGACTGGCACCCTTCCTGTGTGTGGGTGAAGAGGCCACAGCTCCCATCACTGGGCTCAGACAGGTCTGACCATAGTCTTTAATGGGCAGGCAGGTGCCCGAGGCAGCCTCTGGCATGAGGCGGGGCAGGCATTACCCAGAGGTCCTCTGGGTGGGGAGGGCATGCTTGGTGCTTCCCACCAGCTGGAGCCAGAGCTGAGGTGTGCAGGAAGCCTGGCCCTCACAGCCACCCTGGGCACTTCGAGGATGAGGGCAGAGCTGGCTTCACTGGGGCACGGGGCTGGGAGCAGCCTCCAGGCTTGCCCTGCTGGGCTTTTCGGCTCCAGCTGAGGAGGGGCCGGGGGCTGGCCCACGTGGATGCCGGGGTCTTGCAGCCATGCTCCCTCTGGCTGCTTAGAAGCCCCCTGGGGCCCAGCAGGGCGGGTCGGCGGTCCCCCTGTAGCAGGGACAGAGATAGACTGTGGTCAGCCACTGCTGGCCTGTCCCCACCTGCAGCCAGTCTGGGAGGGGTGAGAACCACCTGGAAGGGGCTGGCACACGGGGGCTTGTTTGGGGGCTCCCATCAGGGTGACCACATAGTAGGGGCCCCACGGGTTTCACCCAACCCTGGTTCAACCATGCTGGGTAGATGAAACTTCTGGGATGGAGCACCTGGCCCAGAAGCCTCCAGTCTGAGGATACAGAGGCCCAGTGAGGGGTGGGCTCAGCATCCTCAGGGTCAGGGCAGGAGCCCTCAGATGGAGGCCACAGCACAGGTGGCCCCTGCCTAGGAGGTGGCCCGGGGAGGGTTACCCGCAGCCCCACCTCCCCTTCCCAATGCTGCTCAAGCATCCAGGGCACGCCCAGGGCCAGGGTGGGGACAGCAGGCTGGGGACCACCCCTCCGGGGCCCCCAGGGCTCACCAAGGTGGGCAGCCTAGAGCTGGGCAGCACTGACACCACCTGCAGGCTGGCACCCGCCTCTCCCGCAGCCTTCAGCTCCGCCACCACCTCTGCGTGTCTCCACCACCTGCACGGCTGCCCGTTCACTGACACAATGTAGTCACCCTCCTTCAGGCCGGCCGCCTGTGGGGAGACTTGGATGGTGAGGCGGGGACAGGACACCCTGCCTGGCACTGGGGACTCAGCCTCAGGGGGCCGGTGGGGCCCTTACCGCGGCCTGGCTCCCTGGAACGACAGCAGCGATGAGGACAGGCGAGTCTCCCCGCAGCGTGAGGCCGAAGCCACTCTCTCCTCGGGTCAGGTGGACGGGCCCCGCCAGCCGCCACCGGTTCTTGGCTGAGAACACAGACAGGGGCCCCTGGCGGGGGCTCAGAGGTCAGAGGCCCAACTGGGTCATACACTGAGGAGACCCCGCCTAATCAGCACGTCCATCCAACCTGTGCACCGAGGGACGCCGTGGGGTTCCACAAGGAGGGTGGGCAGGGCTGGACCGCCATCAACGGCCTGAGGCCACGTGCTGGTCAGAGCCACGCAGCCCGAGCTGCCCGTGCTGGGGGTGTCTGGGGACAGGTGTGCTCACCAGCCGATGGAAGATGTCAGGCCCCTTCCCCGGGGACAGGCGCGGCGTCCTGGCCTCTGGCTTCTGGTGGGTCTTAGCTGAGAGGGTGGAAGAGCAGAGCTAAGCTGGGAGCCTGTGGAGACCTGCCCCGGGGATTTTCCAGGGCGCAGGGCATGACCCCGAGCGCACACAGGCCCTGCCTCTGACCTCCTGGCCTGGCCGCACTGCAATGGCGGGGGGAGCTGCCCCAGGTGCCCTGAACACATAGCCTCCTCTGCCACAAGTGGCTCCCAGAATCCCTCCCTGAAGTCCCAGGTGTGCCTGTCCCGGGTCTGTGGGCTTCCCCTCAGGGTAGGCCAGTGCAGGGAGGGAGGGGCTGAGGGGCGTGGCCATTCCCCAGGCCCCTGAAGGGCCCGGCAGCTCTGTGGGCCTGAGATTGCGGCCTGGAAAGTGCTACTGCTGTTGAATTCATCGTGGCGATTGCATCTTTAAGGCAATCAGCCTCCCTTTCTCCAGGATGAAGGCCCCCACCCTGGCCGGGGATGCAGCCACCCACACAGGCCCTGGCTGCTCACGCTGGATGTCTGGGGCCTCGGCAGTCTCACAGAAGTCATCCTCACGGTCAAGCTCCGCATACTTGGCCAGTGAGCGCTGCAGCGTCTGGGCGACCACAGCCCGCAGCAGGTCCACCTCTCGCAGGACGCGGCACAGGGCGTGCAGCCGCAGCGCCTCCTCCTGCCCCAGGATGGCGCGCTTCAGGTGTGCCTTGCCTGTACGCGGGACACTGGGACGTCACATACCATGTGGGCCTGTGGGCCCTGGGACGTGGCAGAAGGAGTGGGCAAAGCCAGGGCTGTGGGGCTCATCACAGCCACTTTTGCTGTAGGCGTATGCCACAGGGGTGAGGAGCTGGCTGTGCAGGAGGGCTCTGCCTCATACAGAGCAGGGGCCAGGGACAAGCTGCTCCCAGGGGTCTCCCACCTGCTCAGAGGCTGCCAGCACTCCTGGGGCCCCTGTGCTGGACCGTCACCCATCAGGCACAGGGCATCCAGGGATAGGTAGGTGGCCCAACTCGTTAGCATGGGGACACCAGGTGGCAAACAGCGTGAGTGTGGTGGGGGACACCCTGCCACTGTTGGTGACCACCTGAGCCCCCAGGGCCCTCCATCCATGGGCGCCTTACCAAGCTGCCTGCGCTCCTCCAGCTCCTGTGGCAGCACAGGGCCTTGGGGCTTGCAGGAGGTGGGGGGCTGGAGGAAGACCTGCTCGTGTGTGGGGAGCTCTCCCTCGGTCGCTGCTGGGGGACAGAGAGGCCATGAGCCCTGAGCGGGGGGCCTTTGCAGCATCATGGGCAAGTGCGGTGGGCACTCACGGGAGCCGTCGCAGAGGGCCATGGCTACGTGGTAGTGGGCCAGGGAGCGGAAGTACTCGGCCTTGACATGCACCAGGGCAGTCCAGGAGACGGGCATGTAGTCGTGGACGGGTGGCTGGGCCATGGTCTGGTGCACTAGTCTGTACTCGGCTGCCACCTGCCAGTGGACATGGCAGGCACGCGAGGGCCTCCCGCTCTCCGGTGGTGACTGCCTCTCCCTACCCAGCCTCCACCCGCTCCGACCACCATCCCAGCAGCCTCCCTGGCACCCCAGTTCCTGCCGCTTCATGCCATTCCCTGGAGGCAGAGGCTTGGGCGCCCAGGTTCCTGACCAGCCCCCCAGGGAGCAGGACAACAGCCGGCTTGGGGCTGACACACAAGGAAGGAGGCGGGAGAGATCACGCTTGCCTGGACCTGGGCTCTGGCCCCAGCTCGGCCCCACCCCCTGCACCCTGACACGGGTGCCCGAGCTCACCTGGGCAGCCTCCTGCGCCAGGCGCAGCTGGGCCAGGCAGTCTTGGGGGGCCATGGAGGCAGGGGGTGAGAGACCCTCAAACACACATTCCTGGGCCTGGGCCATCATGAGCTGCTCCAGTGCGCAGAGGGACGCAGGGCTCATGTCTGGGCTCGGCGCATGGGAGAAGTTCTCCCTCAGGAGGCTGAAGGTCCCTGCGGAGGGAGGGGTGCTCACACAGGCAGGGCCCTGACCTGCCCATCTCTGCCCCATGCAGCACTCAGGGAGGCCAGCTAGGGCCGCTCCTGGGACACACATGGGCCCGATGTGCTCAGCCCCCCTACCTGAGGGACTGACGTCCTAACCACCCCCCAGCTCCTGCCCTGCAGAAGGGGCTCTGCAACACCCTGGCACCACACCCTGCCCCCCCGCGGCCCGGGCCGCCCTCACCAGCGGCCCTCTGGAAGGCCTCCACAGCGCGGTGGGCACCCTCGGCGCAGGAGCGGTTCTGGCGCGCCCCAATCTGCGTGTGGAGGGCGCCGATGTTGAAGAGAACGCTGCCCTTCTCGAAGGCCAGGGCGCGCTGCTGGGCCGGGACCCCAGTAAGCGAGTCGTACCTGCAGTGTCGGGTCAGGCTGGGCGGAGTTCCCACAGTTCCCGCGGCCAGGCCTCCCCTCCCCAGGGTGCCCCCGCCCGCAGAGCCCCTACCAGTGGAAGAAGAGCCCGAGGCTCCTGGCAGGGGTGAGGAAGCGCGCATCCAGGAAGCACAGCTGGTTATAGTAGGCTGTGAGCAGCTCCAGGCCCGCCTCATTCCGGCTGGGGGTCCGCATGGCCTGCAGGGCAGGAGCCGCTGGGCCCCACCGCCCTGGTCCATCCCACTCACACACACTGCCCTGGGAAGTCCCGTGGGCATCAGCACCATGGGGGGCGGGGAGGCAAAGCCAGCGGCGCCCTGGGCAGCCGAAACTCCCAAAGGCCAGCAGCGTGCGGCACCGGGGCCACCTGCCAGCCCCTCGACACGCCCCGGCTGGGTCTGCACACACAGGGTCCTTGGTGCGCCCGTCTCCCCACATCCTCCAGACGTCCACACTGAGCTCCGCCGTCTGTTCCTGACTTAAGCCTCAGCCTCTGCATGTGTCTCCCAGGACTGCAGGAGGGTGGGCGGGCGGGGGAACCACACACCTGCCGCAGGGCCTCCAGCTCTCTGATTTCTGCCTCGTAGGAAGCGCCGTCCTCTCCAAAGTGCACCGAGATCAGCTCCTGATGGGGGGCAGGTGTTGGCATCCACAGTACCCCTGTGCCTGGCCTCCTTCCCTGAGGTGTCCCAACCCACGGTGGGGAAAGACTCATGGTGGAGGAGGGCTGTGTCGCACAGCAGGCTGGCTGCCATGCAGGGTGGGGGCCCTGGGCCCCTCAGGAGAAGCCCCAGAGAAGGGCTGGGGCCAACTGTACGGAGGGACCTGGTGGGTTGATGCAGCTTGGAGCCCCTCTGGCCCTGGGGTTTCCCATCACAGAGGTGGCGCCTGGAGACTCAGCGCTACTTTTATGTGCGTTTCCTTATTCATCCCCATGGCCGGGAGGCAGGTGCCATCTGCCACTCAGTGACTCCAACACTGAACACAGTCAGTGGCTCCTGCAGGGCCCTGCCGGGCAGTGCCAGTCTGTTCTGGGGTCTGAGCCCTCTCCAGGACCCTCATGAGTCAGTGCTGGGTGTGTGGTCCCAAGCCGGTGGTGCCCTCTGTGGGCGAATCTGGACCCTGTGCCCCGGCTGGGGCTTCCAGGCCCCATCCTCTTAGGGCATTGCCTGTCCGAGGGCAGGCCATGTGTTCATACCCACTCTATGGGATCAGCCCCAGCCTGCGGCGCAGACACCAGTGCGGGCCCTGAATGCAGCAGAGGCTGGGTCTCTGTGGCCACTTCTGCCAGGTCCCTGGTGTCCCTTTCAGCCCTCCCTCCCTCTGGGCCTCAGTTTCCCTATCTGTTCAATGAGACAGCTGGACCAGGAAGCCTCCAAGACCCCCTTGGTCCCAGGGCAGGGCCGTGTCCCTCAGAGCTCGTAGGCCAGTGCCTACCTTCAGTGGTGTAGACCAGTCCAGCTCCTTGGTCTCCTTCAGGCCCAGGGGGATCATGGGGACAGTAACAGCTTCACTACAACCAGAAGCATCGACTTCAGACTGTAAGGCCAAACCCTGCTGTACACGGCAGCCGGGGGTCCACTCCTAGGGCTCTGTGGCACAGGGTGCCTCCCTCCCTCAAGGGTGCACACGTGCGCCTGTGTCCTGGGGGGTGTCCTTGCACCTGCGCACCCCCCCACCATCCTAAACTGCTCCAGAAGCACGTGCACACACACGCACGCGTGCGCGCTGTCCCGGCCCCCATCCGCACCTCCCATGCTGGCCAGGGTCCACGCCACCGCTGAGCTCCTCCAGCTCCTCCTTCAGCAGCTGCAGGTTGGAGTTGACGTAGCTCAGCTCCAGGGCGACTGTCTCTCTCACCCGGTTGTTGCTGGTGGCTCTGAGGGAGGCCGTGGCAGTTGAAAGCCCAGCCCCAAGGTAGAGCCAAAGGCCCCATGCCCACTGCCACCCTCCTGCCAGCTGATCTGTCGGAGCTCCGAGCCCACCCTGCAGAGGATGTCGCTGACGGGGTCTGTCCCCCATGGGTGGGGCAGGTGCAGCAGTGGCATCCGGGGGCTCACAGGTGATACCCACTACAGTTCATCACCCCTGACCCCAGCACCTGCATGTTCTGACTCTGGCCTGCGGGCACCTCCCTCAGCACCATGGCTTTCTTTGGGGCTCATACAGCCCTCGACAGCATTCAAACACCACTTCCTCGGATGGTGGGTGAGAGCCACACCCCTCTCTGTGCCTGCATCAGGGCCCGGCAAAGGGACCAGGGGTCCCCAAGGAAGGCCAGGATGGGGGCAGGGAGGCAGCAGGTGCTAAGGGTACTGAAGTTGCACTCACACACACATGTGCGGCTCACACGCGGCGTGCTCTGAGAAACAGGCAGCTCGGGTCTTCCACCCCTCTCCCAGGTCCCCAACCTTGGGATGCGCCGTCACCTGCCACAGCTCAGCCTCAACCATGGCTCTTCTGAGAAGCCCCCCCGTGCACTGCTGGGGCTTCCCAAGCTGCACACCCGGCAGGGACACTGGTTTCCTGGCACCCCCGGCCCAGCACAGAGTCTGTGAAGGCAGGTCTGTGAGGGTCATGGCTGGGCATCACGTGTACTGCGTGCCCCCCAGGACCCATCTGCTCATGCACCTGTCTCCCTGACCTGGCCATGGGGCAGACACCTGCCTGGGTGGCTGTTCTGCCCCCCTCACCCAGGTCAGCCCTGCTCCTGGGGCCGGGTGGCCTCAGGCACTCACCTGTAGAGGTTCTCAGCGCCCGTACGCATCTGCAGCTCCTTGTCAATCTGCTGGTGAATCCGGGCCCTGCGGCTCTGCAGCTGGCCGCACTGCATCTGCATCAGGGAGTCACAGCCCTGCAGAGAGGCCACAGGTGATCACGGCCTGACCCTGTGGAGCCCGCACCAGGCTGTGCCTCGCCAGCCACTGAGAGGAGTGCAGCCTGCCCAAGGGTAACGGGGTGGCCACCATGGGCTGGGGCTGGAGCTGACCTCACAGGGAGGGGCTGGACAGAGCCAGTGTGAATATGGGCCCAGCCAGAGCAGGACCAGGAGGCAGTCAGTGCAGAAGGACGTGGTGGGGGGGATGCTGCTGACTTGTGCTGGGGGTCGGGAGGGGAGGCTGGCACCTGCCAAGGACACCAGGAGCCAGGGCCTCACCAGGCAGCCTGGACAAGTAGGGCTCCAGGAGCCCTGCAGGGGGCTGCCCCTCACAGTAGGATTCTTCTGGGTCTCCTTCTGCACTTCCGGATTTCATTCTGGATCCCCCTTGCCCCTCCCAATTTTTTTCCATCCAATTCACCCACGCCTCCCAACCATTCCCGTGTGGGTTTAGGTGCGGGCTCAAAGGACAGCGTCCCTGAGGCTCTGGGGGCAGCCACTGGCCCCCGATGGTGGGTGCAGAGGCTGCGGTCTGACTTTGGGAACGGTTCTCGAAGTGAACGCACACCTGTGCACTCCCCATCCACAGAGAAGAGACTCTGAGCCTTGTACCCACAGATTGCACCCCCACGGCCCTGCCCAGCACCAGCCATGGCGAAAGAGCAGGGCATGCCCGGCAGGGCCGCTTCTGGACTTTCATGGCTCCTGTGTCTTCTTAAGTGGTGCCAATCTGCTGGGGCTTAAATTTCACTCCAGGGTGATCCAGTTTCATGCCTCAGCCCACCCCATCCTTGTGGTGTTGGGGTCCTGCCTGTGCGATCCTCATGTGTCCCTCCCTCTCACCACGCCCCTCCCCCCAGCTCTTCCCCATGGCTGTGTGGGAATGCCTGGGTCTCCACCCCGACAAGATTCTTTGCAGCTACCTGTGGCTGTCCTCTGGGTGGGCTCCCAGGCGTGGGCCGGCTGGCTTGCCTCTCCAGCACCCACTCCTTCCATGCTTTGAGACCCACAGTGCTGCTCAGGGCTCGATGCTCAGGGACACTGACTCCCACCCAGCCCTTGGGTGAGCCTGGTCTGTGTCAGGTGCGACCATCTGGCCATTTCTGCCAGTCAGCAGCAAGACAAGGCCTCTGGTGGCTCCTGGGACTGCTTCCCGCCCTCGTCGGGAGGCAGGACCTCTTCTGTCTCAGGACCTTGTCGGGTCTGAAGATGAATCCTGCCACCATGAAACTGACCCGATACTGCATGAAGCTGCAGATTCATGGGGCCAACGTGCACATGGCACTGGGTCTTCCCCTCTGTGGACCTGGCACCCTCTCCACGCACACACGTCTCTCAGGCCTTTCCGTCTTCCCCGTAAAGAGCTCACATGTGTTTTCCTGGGTTTCCCCTAGATATCTACAGAGAGTTATTTTTGCTAATGTGAATGAGACCTTTGTCTGCATTGTAATTAGTTTATTCCCATTATACAGGAATGATTTGATTTCCTAGACAGAAGGCCTGCTTGTCCTGCCCCCCAAGCTCACAGCAGCCAGCTGAGTGGGTGACCATCTATTATGGGTGAATTGTGTCCCCACAAAAGACAGGTTCAAGTCCTAACTCCCAGTACATGTGAGTGTAATTTGTCTAGAAATAGGGTCTTTGCAGATATAATGAGTTAAGATGAGGCCACCCTGGAGTAGGGGGGGTCCTTAATCGCAGTGACAAGGGTCCTTATAAGAGATGGGAAATGTGAACACAGCCACATGGAAGTGGACATAGGAAGGCAGAGACAGAGACTGGAGAATAAGGCACCGTCCCCTGGAACCCACCCCATCCCCCAAACCCCTGCACTGTCCCCCGGAACCCATACCATCCCCCCAAACCCCTGCACCATTCCCTGGAACCCACACCATCCCCAAACCCCCGTGCCGTCCCCTGGAACCCACACCATCCCCCAAACCCCCGCGCCATCCCCTGGAACCCACACCATCCCCCAAACCCCTGCTCCGTCCCCTGGAACCCACACCGTCCCCCAAACTCCCACGCCATTCCCTGGACACCCGTGCCGTCCACCAGACACCTGTGCCATCCCCCAAAACCCTGCGCCGTCTGCTGGACACCTGTGCCATCCCCTGTACACCCACACCAGCAGTCTCCTGCTGAGTGCTGGGGGTGAGGGAGCCTGATGGAGCTCCCTGAACTGAAGATGAGCCGGTGCTTAGGGGCTGGGGGGAGGGACACAGGCGCTAAAGGGCCAAAGCAGAGAGGCCATGGTGGCTGGGAGGAGGGTGTGCTGGCCCAGGACGCTGGCCTCCCCCCAGCCCAGCTCTGTCCCCGTGGACACCACCCAGCAGGGGACGGGCCAATGTGCACTTGGGAACCCTCATCCTGCTCCCGTTTCCCACTCCCGCCTCCTCCAGAAAAGAAATTCCCTCCAGAGCTGCTTCAGGGGCTCAGGCTGGAGACGCCCACAGGTGGGAGAGGCACGGGCGCCTCAGATCTGAGCAGCTCCCTGAACTTGAGGCCTGCCCACCCCCGCCTCCCATCCCTATCTTTCCCACCCGCACTACCACCTTGAGGGCCTCTGCCCAGTACCTAGGAGACCCCCGTGCCACCCACTGCACTACACCCCCTCCCTGCAAAGGCCCCACTGCAAGGCTCCAGTGGCTTTAAGGGCTCTGGCTGTGCAACGGGCATCAGACACCCAGCCAGGTCTCTGCTCCCCTCCTGGCCCCAGGAGAGCTGTGGGGAACCTGGCCCCTCAGAGCCCCACAGGCACCTGCCGTGGCCCTGGGCCGTTCCTCGGCCTCCCCACCTGCAGTGCTCCCTGCTGGTCAAGTGACTTCCTGGCCTACATGGGGATGAGCAGACCTGAGCTGGACCTTTGAGGCTGGGTAGACCTTGGAGGGGGAGGCCCATGCCCCACTTTCCACACTGGGCTGAAGGTTGTGCCCAGCAGAAGGGGCGTGGACACAGGTGTTCAGCCCCTGCTCCTGCTACAACCTCCCCATCCTCTGGAGACAAAGGTGACCTGGAGCCCCCCCCCACCACCATCCCCACGGTGCCCTGACACCCTACTGTGACCATTTCCACCTTGCATTAGGAAAGAACAGAGAGGCTATGGTCTGCGGGGGTCCTGAGAGGCAGCCACACATGAAGGGCCTGGCCGTGCCTCGATGGAGAGGGACGGAGAACAGAGAAACAGCCCCCAAACCCTGACAGTGGGGCTCCTCTACCAGTGAGGAAATAGTGTGGCCGTGGCCAGAATGGGGCTGACCTGGGGACTGGCATAATGTGGAGACAGTTATCCCAGCCCAGATCTGGGAACAGCAAAACATCAGAGCAGGACCAGACCTCCACCCTCCCCCAGGATCCCCTGGCCCTGGACCAGGCAGTCCCCAGGCAGAGGCCACCCACCTGGAGCAAACCAGCTTCTTCCCCTCAGAGCCCTGGCCCTGGGCACCCTGTCTGCTGATACCCACCCATCTCAGGGATCCCTCTCCTCTGCCCCCACTGAAGTCTCACCTGAATGCAAGAACTGGAAGCCCCAGAAGGGCGGACACATTAGCACCTACCCGACCCACCATCTCTGCCCCCCACTGATGAGGGAGCAGAATTCAATGGGCATTGGCGCACAGGGGTCTCCTGGGACGTGGGGCTACAAGCAGCACGCACGCCAGAGGGATCACAGACTGGCCACTCACGCCAGGGACCACCACTCTCTCTGATGCTCCCTGGGGCACCCAGGCACTGGTGGTTCCTGAGCACCCCTCTTCCTGGAGCCCAATCTACCTGGGCAGGGGCCTAGGAATCCGTTTGTAACCAGCACCCAGAGGGTGCTGCTGTCCAGCCAGGCCAGGGAACCTCAGGCTGACCCACTCGGCATGCTGGAGACCAGGCGAGGGGGGCACAGTCACTCTGCCCATCTGCTGCTCCAACGCTCTCCCTCCTCAGCCCGCTCCCCCTTCTCTCACTGGCCTCCCTTGACCTCCCAAGGAAACCACAGGACCTGCATACAGCCAGGCTGTGTTCTCTGTGGTCCTCCCTGGGAGCCCCTGCAGCCCCTGTGGGAGGGACGGCAGCTGGGTTGGCCACCCTGGGCTGTGCCAGGCTTCTCCCCTTACCAGCTTGGCAGCCTTGGCCACTTACTCACCCTGTTCCTCAGACGGGCTGAGGCCCAGGGCTTGGGAGGCACCGATGGCAGGACTCCAGCTGCGGCTCTGGCCCCGGCACCAGGTAAGCGCTCGCGGAAAGCACACTCTCATCATACCCGGGGCAAATACAAGTCACCCAGACCCGTCCACAGGGCCTCAGGCCCAGGCGTGGTCTCTAAGCGGAGGAATGACCGACCCCTGACCCACTGAACTCTGAGCATTAGGGCCAGTTTGGGGGCCAGCCTGATGGGGGTGGAACAGGCCTCACTCCAGCCTGGCCGCAGGCATCAGGGAAGACCTTCCAGATGGCAGGACGGCCTGAGTGGTGTGTGTGTGACACAGGGCCTGCCTCCACTCCCCGGCCACCTCCCACAGACCCCTCCCCAGCACCCTGACTGTGGGTCATTTCTGGACACTGCGAGAGACGCGGCAGCCTGGAAACAGCTTCTCCCCGACTTTCCAAGGTGACAGCCCAGGGAGGGCCAGGACAGAGAGCCCGGGCACAGCCCCCAGCCTGAAAAGCGTGACCTCCAGAGCCCTCTGGGACATCTTGTTTGTACAGCCTCCCAAACATTCCACCCAAAACAACTTTGCTGTCCCAGGCCACCTGCAGGCATGGCCGCCCTGCCAGAGCGAGTTCACAGGGTTCGGGCAAAGGCTGCCTCTCCCTCCAGTGCCCAGGAGGTGCTGCAGCCTCTTGCACGCCTAGGGGTGGGCAGGAAGGGAGTCCTTGAGGGCTATGGTCAGCATCGGCAGCCCAGTGACCTGAAGCCAAGCCCTGGCTGATAGCACCGCCTCCTCCTCTAAGAGACCTGAGTCCAGACACGGAAGCTGAGTAGAACCAGGGACAACGAAGTCCGATGTCCCAGAGGGGAGGAGGGCCAGGCGCTATCAAAGGCTCACCTGGGGTGAGGAGCAGGAGCAGCCCCCCGCTGAAAGCCCGCGATGGGCATGGGCGCCCAGGGTCTGGCAGGAGCACTGGGACAGCCTCGAGCTGGTCCGCAGGGAACACGCAGGCTCTGGACTGCACAGCAAGGCCCACAGACATCCCCTCCTTTCCGGGCACAGACTCAGCAGGTCTCCATAGCCCTGCCCATCCCTCCCACTTGCCCAGTCAGCGCCCCGGGTTAGGGACTTCAGAAGGGGAGGAGGTTTGGGAAGTCAGGAGAGGACAGCCGGGAAGACCTCTCTCGATTTCCCATACCCAGGAGGCTTCGCTGCCAGCTGCTACCAGTGCACCCAATGGGCACGCAGTTCCTGAGCGGTGCAGAGGGAGGACCGAGCTAGGGAAGGAGGCTATACAGGTGCCGCAAAGGAACACGACGGCGGGTGTTGGGAGGGCGCTCACAGAGCCCAGCCCCACACCCGCCCAGAAAGGGGCCACGAGGAGGGCGTCCCCCGACCCGCTTCAGCAGTGAGGATGATCCAGACTTTGGCTCCCCGCATTTCCTGGCTCACATGAGTGGCCTGGAAGCACCTCCACAGAGCTCAGAGGAGGAGGGACGCAGGCTCTGGCCTCAGTTTCCCTTCCTGCGTCCGGGCCGAGTGAGACGTGGGAGGGGGGTGCCCGGAACGCGCTTCGAGTGGGGGCAGGAAAGGGCCGGGATTCCGGGCCCCTCCTCCCGCCACCGCGCCAGTGCTGCGCACCTGCAGCCGTGGACTCTCTTCGCCGGCGCCCGCGCCGTCCGGCCTCTCCTCCAGGATCATCGCCGCGCCCGCCGCGCTGGGAGTCCTTCGGGGTCAGCCTCTCGCGCAGCGCTCCGCAGCCGGACCAGGGCCTCCCGCACCACCCGGGCCGCGGGCTATTCAGTGCCCGCGCCGGTCCCCGACTGTCCCTCCTGGGTGGGGGCGGCCCGCTGTGCGGCTGGGCGTGGCACGGGTCCGGTGTGCCAAGCAGGCCGTTGCCCAATAGGCGGCAATGCCGCTTCGACGGACAGCTATGTTAGCCAACCAGAGCTCTAGGAAGGCGGGCTCTGGACGGCCAGCCCCGCCCACCCGAGGGACGGTAACCCCTGGCAACCGAGGCCTGAGCGACCGCGGCCGGCTGGCAGGTTGTACTGCGCATGCGCCGCAGGGGCCGCCGAGCTTGCGGGAGAAGTTCGGGAAACGGAGGAAAAACTCTACGGAACGTCCCAAGCTGAGAGTCAGGGCGGACCTGGCCTCGGCGCGCCCGGCTCCTGGGCTGCCTTTGCGGGGACTCCAGGAGTCTGCCAGGCCGCGCCGTTTCGTCCCGTCACCCCGGCAACGGGACCCTCTAAGAGGCTTGTTCCAAAAATGTTCACAATGGGGTTTTTAAAAACGGTTTTGTTAGGGACAAGTGCTTGTGTGAGTTCTCCGACAATGCCTGCTTTCTTCTCTCTGCCCGCGGAGCGGAGGCTCCAGGCCTGGCCCCAGTCCGAGGTGCGCCTGTCGGTGGCGTCCTGCTTCCAAAATCGGCCTCCAGAACCCGCCTCCTTCCAGAACCCGCCTCCTTCCGGAACCTCCTTCCAGAATCCGCCTCCTTCCAGAACCTCCGTCCAGAACCCGCCTCCTTCCAGAACCCGCCTCCTTCCAGAACCTCCGTCCAGAACCCGCCTCCTTCCAGAACCTCCGTCCAGAACCCGCCTCCTTCCAGAACCTCCGTCCAGAACCCGCCTCCTTCCA